GCTTGAGATCAGGCTGCACGATAATCAACTTTTCGCAAATGTCGGCAGTGTGCATGAAAAGCCGACCGTTCTGTATTTTAGTAGAGAAGAGGATTCAGTTTACCGTTCCTCATTTTGCTATCCAAAATGCAGTGATGTCAAACGAGAATAAAAGTGCCACGGCTCATTGGGGGGAAACATACCTTAAACACATCCTCCATTTCAAAGGCAAGCTCTCATTAACCACAAATACTGTCGTGATGAACCCATTTTCAATGCGTTCGAAAACAATTTAGCGATTACAATGGCTCAAGCGATGAGTTTAACGACTTACAATCCCTATATAAAGCCAACTGTAACAAAAAGTGCCTCAATAGGCCCAGTTTTCGGCGACTAAGTGGTGAAAAACAGATGTCCTTCAGTGGTTGCTAATGCGAATATCATTCTGAAGGTAAAGATAGAAACCATATATAGTTTTAGAAATTTGAGTTGACCCAATTGTGAAAAAACTCGAGGCGTTCTGCGGGATTTGAATCCGCGTATTAGAGAAAGCCTTACTGAAAGCCAACGCTCTAACCGCTAAGCTATGTACAAGTGCCCCACCTCGCGCCATGAATTTAATCACACTGGGGTCAATATTACCCGCCCAACTTTACCGCCCATATGGAATCCACCAGTACGGAACAGCAAGCTGACTGCCCAAACAGGATTTCCTAAGCAATAATCTAGAATCCACCAGAATGACTACTAGGCTAACTTAATTATTAGCAGGTTTGTAGCTTAGCGATTAGAGCGTTGGCTTCCTGTAAAGGCCTTCTCTGATACGCGGGTTCGAAATCCCAACCGAATGCCTCGAGTTTTTTCACAATTGGGTCAACTCAAATTAAGCAAATCTGCCGAACCTCCTAAGAGTCTTGGAAATGGCATGACTCATAAAACGCTCACAAAGAATCAACAGACCATGGTGTCTAAAAATCGACTAATGATTAGAGAACCATCACTAAGATCTGAAATGTACCATGCCAAACGTTTGACAAGAATTACGCTTGTTAAATAGTTAAACTCCTCGGAACCAAGTCACACTGGCATCAGCTTGAGATCAGTTGTAAAGATTAACTGTTACTTATATTGCTGACGGAAACAAAGTCATAGATGTCGGTATAATTATTGCCAATAAAAGCGAAAATGCGAGTCCCAGAAAGTAATTTAGAAGAAGACGTCTTGATGGCTGGGACAATATGTTTATTCGCCCGACGTTTCGACATCCGTCGCGTATTCATCATCAGAAACATAATCACAGAACAACAGCAGATTCAGGTAATTTGTGCACAGGAGACTGCCGTAAAATTTAAACGTGCACACTCCAAGCATTTATCAATTTTTCTTCACGTTTAAATTTTACGGCATACTCCCGTGGACAAATTTAATTTTTTGTACTATTATTTTAAACTTTATAATTGCGTACAGCATTTTTACTCATTATGATAGAAGTAATGCAAGCATAAAAAATCAACGGCAAATCAAAAGTCCTTTAAAATAAAAATGTTTCCAATGTCAGTCACATATAGTCTAAAAAGTGTGCCACCATTTAAACCCAATAGTTCCTTCCTCAGTGATGTCGTCTGGGATTTTTAAATAATCAGTTTTGCGTGAACATTTTTCTGGTAAGTTTGTGCAGAGAAATTCTTCTATATGATACATTAGATAAAATTCTTAGCATGGCTATTCTTGATTTAATTTAAGCAAGCGAAAAACGCCTGGATACTTTTTGTTTTCCAGATAGATGGTCGAGAGAAACAACCACAGAGGAATAAATGAGAAACAAGGCAAAACAGTCAAATAAATTAAATTAGTCAATTTGCAATATGAATAATTTCATAAATTAAAATTTCATGCGGCTTCTACTAATTAATTCCATTATTTATATGTTGCTGATCTAAAAATGTCGGATCTGTTGAAGATTTGATGAAACATTTTGCAAAATAACGATAGTGAGGAAAGGAGGGACTAATAGGAACAGTTTGGCAGCATCTGCGGTCGAATTTTTAGTATTCATACGCCTAAACCTTCCGCCATTTAAACATTGTAGCTTCTTCCCCACTGAAATAATCTTCGTTTTTCAAAATAATAAGTTCTGTGTGGATATTTTTGTGCATAAACTTAGTAAATTTCTACCGAAACCCTCGTTGATATGTTAGATCGTTTTCATATCATGGCTATTCTTGATTTAAATTCAGCATGCAAATAAGCACAAAGACTTTTTAGGTTTCATATGTCTATATCACCGAGAGAATTCGCAAATGAAACAACAGCCAAAAAATAAGAAACAACACGGAAGAAATCTGAGAAATTAATTTTTTAAATTTGCAATAAGACTAATTTCATGGAGTAAAATTTCATGCCGCCTCTACTAATTAATTCCACTGTTTATATTTTGCTGGTTTAGGTCAAACCTGTTGCAAGATTTGATGAAACACCCTGCAGAGGAACAGCACTAAGGAAGGGCGGAGATAAATAGAAAACAATTGAGTAGCATCTGCGGTTATTTTTTGTCGTCTCTATTAATATTTTTATAGCCCGTTTTTTACCCCTTGCGTGCTAACGCCTGCTCTTCTGATCAATGCGGTTGATTCCACAGGCAAAAACAAAATAATAAACACAGAGAAAGTGACATCTTGCCGCACATTTTCTCTGCTCTGTGGACGAAAAAGGGAATAATAGCAAAATATTTTGCGTGCCTTGATGGCTGTCAGTGGCTGAGAGTCGGCTTTTTATATCGCAGCCTCGTTATTAATTCACTCATTGCGCCAGCTCAGAGTGACCTTGGACAGGGCTTTTCAAACTGTTGCGCCTCTGACAGATTTGAGTGAGAACGCCGTCACATTTTTGTTTCAGCATGAATGGATGCTAGTTTTCCCTAGCAGATTATTAGTTAGCCTACTCAATCATTTAATAATCTCTGGGCATGGACTTTGCCCTTTCTGTTCACCATGTGGTAGCCTACAGTGGTTGAATGCTTAAGGGATTTGAAAAAATTACCCATTGAGTATTGTTCCATCCGAATATTGGATTGCCTTGTAAGTATAAGCATATTTTTGCCAATCAGTCTAAACTATGCAACGGGGCTTTCTGCCA